TCCTAGAGAAGGAGGGAGTGGCCCAGCTTTAGATATCAGACAAATAGAAGTTGATGAATATGTCAGGGCTCTGAGTAACATTATCCAAGTTTTGTCTACACAGGTTCAAAGAACTGCAGAGAAACCAGACGAAGCACCAGAAGAGACTCCTCTACAGCCGGGTGATTGGGTGAGGTTGAAAGTTCACAAAAGAAAGTGGGCTGAACCCAGGTGGACTGGACCGTGGGAAGTTGTTGAAAGAACTTCACACGCGCTCCGGATAAAAGGTAAAAAAGGAGCAAATTGGCACCACCTGACACATTGTCGCCCTGCACTGGCACCTTCCAGAAAGCTCTCGGAAGTTAGGACTGATTTGGCAGAGCTGGAACAAAACGATAAATAAAAATCAGATCAAGAGACATTCAGATAGAAACAGCTCAAAAGACCAATTGTCTTTAGATTATAGATTGATCACTAAAGCAGAATAACTATTTCTGTTTTTCATCTGAAACCTATTTCTGTTGTGCACAAAAAAGAGTCCAAGATTTTGTTTTTATTTCTGTGTAGTCCAAGATTTTGTTTTTTATTTTTTGGTGCCTGTTATTCTTTAAACTCATCATTATAGAACTCTGTAACTGATATAACCATGGATAAAATTGATGCAATGCCATTGAAAAAGTCAGAGCAACCAAGGGGCCCCCTAGGGATAAGAATTGTGATATCATTGTTAGTTTTATTCATTACCATTGGCATCTTTCTGATTGGGTGGGGAGTACAGCATCGTGAAAAACCCGAATCCATTTGTGAACTCATAGATGTTAGAAATACTCATTCCAAGAGGTAAAGCAGTTACGGTCAGTCTTGATGTCTGTGATGTGGTTGTTTGTGGAGATTTGCATGACAAAACAGGCCATGACGTTTATGGGTGCATCCATGCTTGGGGACGGCCAGATGATAATTCATGGTGTCCCAATTCAGAGAAGGTATATTGGAGTGCTAGGACTCAAGGAAATAACAATCCCCCTGGTTTGGCGTTTAGGTCTCAGCTATCTTTTTCCAAAGGTCGCCATAGTGGAGATATGAGCAAACATAATCCAATAATAATTGCTTTTAAAAGTGAACTCACTCCCGTCTTTAAGAAAAAGGGAGATGTCACTGCATTTCATTTACTGATAGGGATAGAAGTTCCTGGAAAAGACCCAATGGGATCAATTTTAGTGAAAATAATTGAACCCCAAGCTGATGTAATCCCTGATCTCGCCCCACACACTGAATCCTTTCTCCAGCCAAAACCAGAAGTACCCCCTGCGAAATCCGAGAACAATCCACTGGTCACCTATCTGAGTACGACTTCTATACAGAAAGCCATGGCAGTGGAAACGGGATACGAGGACAAAAATTCCTGGTTAGACTGGGTTGTGTATTCTGTTAAGCAGAGCAATATGGCGGACTGTCTGGCCTGTGCGGCTGCTCGACCAAGTTTGGGAACAGTACCATTTCCATTTAACGCCCACAATAACCCACGAGGACAGATCTGTATGTACAAACTCTATGGACAAAAATCCCCAGCAGATTGTGTTGACATTTCTCAAAAGTATCCAGTGGTAAACAATAATGACATTCCACCTGCCTTCACGTCTTACGAGGGACTTTATGACTGCATCACAAGGAACTACCTAAAAGGTACTGAAGTAGGAACTCTTAAGTGGTGCAATTCTACAAAGGTTGTAATGAACCAGGAGTTTCTCCCAGGCATAGCTATGCCCATTACCCAGTTTCCCAGAGCAGATGTGTGGTGGTATTGCGGCACTAAAACCTTGTACCCAGTTTTACCACGGGATTGGACGGGGACCTGTGCTATGGTACAGCTAGTGATGCCTTTTTATGCAGTACCAATGACGGCCGAGCAACTGATAAGAATGGCACTCCAACCCAAAGCAACCAGGGCCAAAAGGTCAGCCCCTAGAGGGAGTTTTGATTCCACTGTGTACATGGACAGCATAGGGGTGCCTAGGGGAGTACCAGACGAGTTTAAAGCTAGAAACCAGATCTTCGCAGGATTGGAATCCATTTTCCTTTGGCCCACAGTAAATAAGAATGTTGACTGGTTTAACTATATCTACTACAATCAGCAGAGGTTCATAAATCACTCCTTAGATGCGTTTAGGGGACTACATGAACAACTGGACAAGACCAGCATCATGTCTTTACAGAACAGAATGGCTCTAGACATGCTTCTGGCAGAAAAAGGGGGTGTGTGCGAAATTTTCGGAACATTATGTTGTACCTTCATCCCAAATAATACAGCACCTGACGGATCAGTAACAAAGGCACTAAAGGGACTCGCTGTTTTGAGTAGGGAGATGGCAGACAATAGTGGGATAGGACAAAACCCCTTAGGAGATTTCTTTGATGGTCTGCTGGGAAAATACAAGAATCTAGTACTGAGTGGACTGATGTCTATCTCAGGTGTGGTCGTGATATTGGTACTGTGTTGTTGTTGTTGCTCAACATGCATCCGCACTTTTGCAAACCGACTGGTTAATGGGGCCCTCAACCAGGAATACACTAGGGGTCAATATCTCATGAGGGGACCGTTTCAAATACTAGCAGAACAAGACAACCCACCCCCGTACACAGATAAAGATGAAAATGATGAGTTTGTTTGAATGATGTTAAATGATAGGGATGTTCAGAGATGAGATTGTTCAATGAATGTCCAGCGAATGTCCAGCTAAGCTGATCCTTTAAATGATGAAATCATGTAAAAAAGTGAACCAGTTGCAATACTAAAATGGAGTGAATCCATTTCAATTTACTGTACACTATTCCAAGAATAGTTTATTTTTATTTTACTTTATACCATTCCTACACCAAGTTTTGTGTTTTTTCTTTTTCTTTCCATTATTCTAAAATAGTTTATTTTTTTTATGTTTTATACTGTTATTAGTGATGCGATTTTTAAATTGTATGTTTTTTATGCTTTGTATAACAAGTGCCTTAACAACTGAATGTGGTATGGGAACGGTTTCTGTGAAAGGAGGGAGTAAGAAATGTTCTAATACCACAAGTTGCTGCTATATTGAATGATTAAAACTAGAAGTTATGCACAAGGGAAAACTTTTATGTTTGAAGACCAGCCAAAGTATTTTTTGTATTTGTTGTATTTTTGATGATGGTTATTTAAACCATTACATTCTGATTGTATGTTTTTAATATGAGTTATGTACTATGCAAAGTTCAGATGAAGAACTCATTGATTTCAGTATTGTGTTCACACCTTAAAAGGTGTGAAAGGAGGGATTGTTAGAAATTAAAATCAATGTTAAACAGCATAATTCAGTCTAAAATATATCGTCAGTTTAAAGCTGTTTTATTGTGGAAAAAACCCGGAAGTTCTCAGGAAATCAATGCCAAGCTTTTATTCTGAAAATCCTTTATCCGGTTAGCATGTGACTAAATATTACGTTTTCTGAATGTAAAGTTAAAATGACTTGGAGTGTTACACACCAAATCGTACGGACTTTAACACTACATCGATAGACGTTAAGATATTATTACTGCTGAATATTAAATGAAGGAACAGTTGATCATGGAGTGTTTACACATTACGTGAGTAGCTATGACGTCAGAGGGAACTACCGTAAATGAGAACTGTGTCGTAAAAGTGTTTCTAGGACTTCTAAACTAACGATTACAGCTGTTTATAAGGTATTAAATAGAAAGTCATGACAGAGATAAGGAGGAGAGAATGCTTAAGGAAATAGGCAGAGAATACCAATGTCGAAATCATCTGTGCTCTCGCGATATCGAACCCACAAGATGAGAAGGGCGGTCCCACTATCTTCACAGCGGGGGACAACGAGACGTGGATAAAAAGGCAGGACGGAAGATAACTGAGTCCCTTTCCTTCGCTGCAGCCCACCCTGAAGACATCACCGGCTTTGTCTCTCCATTCACCATGCTTGTTCTTTAACCACGTTACTTAATTAAACTACCCATTTGAACCTTTTCAGAGACTCCATTAGTCTCGTTATTTTAAGTTTCTTTCCTGGGAGCGAGAAGATCACGAATTATCAACAGTGCTAACCTGCTGTCCCTGTTAGCATTCCTCTGTGTGCATTAGCATGTGTGCTAACCAGCTGTCCCTGTTAGCATTCCTCTGTGTGCATTAGCATGTGTGCTAACCAGCTGTCCCTGTTAGCATTCCTCTGTGTGCATTAGCATGTGTGCTAACCAGCTGTCCCTGTTAGCATTCCTCTGTGTGTATCAGCATGTGTGCTAACCAGCTGTCCCTGTTAGCATTCCTCTGTGTGTATCAGCATGTGTGCTAACCTGCTGTCACTGCTAGTATTCCTCTGTGTGCATTAGCATGTGTGCTAACCTGCTGTCCCTGTTAGCATTCCTCTGTGTGCATTAGCATGTGTGCTAACCTGCTGTCACTGCTAGTATTCCTCTGTGTGCATTAGCATGTGTGCTAACCAGCTGTCCCTGTTAGCATTCCTCTGTGTGTATCAGCATGTGTGCTAACCAGCTGTCACTGCTAGTATTCCTCTGTGTGCATTAGCATGTGTGCTAACCTGCTGTCCCTGTTAGCATTCCTCTGTGTGCATTAGCATGTGTGCTAACCTGCTGTCACTGATAGTATTCCTCTGTGTGCATTAGCATGTGTGCAAACCTGCTGTCCCTGTTAGCATTCCTCTGTGTGCATTAGCATGTGTGCTAACCAGCTGTCCCTGTTAGCATTCCTCTGTGTGCATTAGCATGTGTGCTAACCTGCTGTCCCTGTTAGCATTCCTCTGTGTGCATTAGCATGTGTGCTAACCAGCTGTCCCTGTTAGCATTCCTCTGTGTGCATTAGCATGTGTGCTAACCAGCTGTCCCTGTTAGCATTCCTCTGTGTGCATTAGCATGTGTGCTAACCAGCTGTCCCTGTTAGCATTCCTCTGTGTGTATCAGCATGTGTGCTAACCAGCTGTCCCTGTTAGCATTCCTCTGTGTGTATCAGCATGTGTGCTAACCTGCTGTCTGTGTCCTCTTCTGGGTATTTCTCCACCACGTTGATAATGTCCAGACACACCAGACCAACACAAAGGATCTTCTTCTTCTTGTATTCCTCCATGTTGATGCAGACACACAGCTACAGTCTGGACTTTGACACACACACACACACACACACACACACACACACACTCTAGTTTGGTAATCTGTGTTTTCTACCAGTGTTAAATTGAATGTCATGCATTTAACTGACACCCCGAATCGTTCATTTAAATAATGATAAGACATGAACTGTTTGATTTAATACGCTTTACAGTATATATCATTTTACATATATTATGAAATGATTTACTCAGTTTCAGATTATTGTATTGGGATGTTTACCTGTTCTGTTTGTTTATGCCTTTTTACATTACATTGTTTTTTACTTGTGTTTGTTGGTATTGAAGTAAGAAGATATGATTCTACACTGTATTGAAGTAAACATGTATTGTTTGAACGGGTTTTGATAATCACTTAGAAAAAGAATGTTATTCTCACTTTTAAACTCACTGATCCAGAGATTCTGTGTTTCACACACCAACATTGGCTGTTATCATCTCTAAGAGCCAGATGCTGTTTCTAAGTCGTTAAAGACATCGTAAAATAGGAAAAGATCCCCTGGAAAAGGTAGGGAGGGGAGATCGGGACGGAGATAAGAATTGACTTTTGACCTTAGGGGACTTTGGAATTTCAAGTCCTGGAGAGAACTATTGAACCCGGCCAGAAGCGAATCCAGCCAGTCAGGGCACTTGGGGGAGGTGGTCAGTTTAAACAGCTCCTCCCCAGGGCTTCTCTGATTCGCTTGGGAGAAAAGTGGGAAGGAAGAATCGACAAATCTCCGCCCCAAAGACAGATAGAAATACTGACGTTTGTGTGTTTAAAATTGCTTTTGGGTTTGGTGAGTTTGTTGGTCCTGATATCTGTGTCCGCATCGAATCACAAACTTGAAGTCCAATTTCTTCTCGTTTGATGACTTTGTCTGGTCCCGATGCATTTATCCGCATCGCATCACAAATCTAAAAGTCCGGGGTACTCGAGTACTCTGTATAACTTGTATATGTGTTTGGTTTCCTACTAGAAGTAAACTCAGATAATTTGTTATAACTTTGATTCCGGTGTTTTCAATTCCTTTCTTAATTTAATAGAGATCCAGCCTCATCCAACGAACGGCGCGTAGCAGAGGTATTCTGCTCCAACAAGTGGTGACTCCCGACGTTTGTGAGCTGATCTCTAGAAAGGAACACCGATAGCCAGGGGACAGAATCCAGTCCAGGGGGAGGACACAGAGATACTGTTGACAACTACACCAAGGCGCCATATACAAAAGGTGAGCAGACACCTGTTTTGATTATCAAAAATCTGTGATTGATTATACTAAAAAATTTAGAGTTGTCAGCAGCGTTCTCAGTGTTTTTAGTCACGGTGGGAAATACAATACATATTCTAGTTAAATTAGATTATTAGTGCTTAGAGAAGGGTATTCAGTCCTGGATCTAGAGCAAAAATAGTGTTTGAGTGTGGCGGGTAGATCCCAGCCCTTCACTCACTAAATACGAAGGCTGCAAGGCTAGAAAAAGAGGGTTAAATTCCCCGCAGATCATGATAAGATTGATTAATGCGGTTACCTTTCGTGGTGCTTTAAATGTATAAAAATGTCTGTAATTGTAATATGGTGGGTGATAGAGGAGGAGAGAGACGCGACCTCCAACTAATTATTTGGAACGACCGTATCTCATCACAAAACTGTTGTGGGGATAATCAGGCTCATTAAACGTGACGATAAAGAGATTTTGTTGACTGAGTTTTTAACTCTTGACCTGAAGTCGCAATCACCGTGAGGAGATTGTAGAAGCCTACTTCTGGAAGTCACGCTATCTGTTGAAATAAACATCGCACAATAAAAATTTGCCTGAATGTGATATGATAAGGTATGAGAAGCTCTGTGTGATTTTTTTTAAAGTCAAATCTGTGTAATACTTGAGAGACAGAGAGCAACGAGAAGGTGGTATAATGTCTGAGACCCCTACCTCCACCCTACGGAGATAAGGGCTCACAAATGCCACTTATGAGTATCCCATCTAATACTCCTAAAGGAAAACACATTGTTAGACCTGATATTCAGGGATAAGGAATGTTGGAAATAGTAATGGAAGATATTGAAAAATCTTAAACTGGATCAACCAACCATGTTAGTGAACCCTGCTAATATGGAGCTAATACATGTAGAAAGACTAGCAGCAGCTCTGGCAAAGACAATAGGTCCTAGCATGCAAGCACAGAGCGGTAATATGATAAGGGCTATTAAACTGACCCTTTTTGGAAATGGGATTTTCCGTTACATAACGGAAGACTCAATTCAGGCCTTAAAGAACGCTTTACAAACAAGTCAGGGAGTGTTAAATGTGGAGCTATGTTGCTCAAAAGGGAACTTACACTTTTGGGAAGAGATCTCCCACTTTCTCTGTCGTGAGGTGCTGCTGACTCAAAGCAGCATACAGGGTCAAAGACAGGCGTGACCTCTGGAGAGGAAGAAAATCTAAATCTGAACAGACCACAGAGCCCATTAAAAGGTTTTATGGCCTCTACACTGAGAGGAAGATCTGGAGATTGTAAGGAACTCTCCCTGAATATCCACATCCACACCATTGAGGGGAAGAGTGTTCCTTTCACCAATAAACAAATCATCTCTTAACCAAGTCAGATTTCAAAATAGCCATACCTCAAGTTGTTAAGAAAAGAGGGAGATTCAAAAAGTTATCAATAATTGCCCAGTATATTAAATAAATACAAACGGACACGTATCAATATAAGTCAGATAATGTAGACGAGGTCAATCATGGAAGAAGGCTGACATTTCATGCCTGATATATAAGTAATAGTAATAATAAATATATAGCTGATATTAAATAACTGATGTATAAGGCTCGATATTTCTGAAAATGGGAACACCGTTAACGGCGTTCTATTTCAGTAAAAGGGGGAAAAGGATGGGATATACATCAGACAATATGTATGTGAGATTATTACGTTTTTAGGAGAAATTTATCAATTTAAAATACTAGTTATGGTATTTTTTGTTTTGTTTTATTTGTTGCTTTTAAGAGAAATTGATACAGTTAAAATAATCTAGCTTTGGTTATTTTTTGTTTTGTTAGTTTGTTCCTTTTTGTTTTATTTTTATTTTTGTTCTATTTTTTATTTTTATTTTGATTTTTGATTTTGATTTTTGATTTTTATTTTTTGAGATGATTTCAAAACCATATTTCCAGCAACTTAAGGGCTTGGTATGAGACTTCTCCACACAGGCTGCTGACGTCAAAAGGGGGACCCGAGAAACACAAGGCCAACACAGCAGATTACGTCTGGTTGGAGGGGACCTCTCATGCCGTTCGCCTAGATGGAAAGGGAGACAACTGGTACCATTGGAGCCAGTGTGCGGTCGGGAAAAACACCTGCGAGGACCCTGGACGACATCAGGACAGAGTTGGCCCTCGTCGCGAGGACCCTGGACGACATCAGAACAGATCTGGCTCTCGTCAAGGCAGTCGACCCAGGAGGCGCCATCAGCAGTCCGGAGGAGGAGGATCGGGAGGACATCTCTCCAACAGTCGACCCGGAAGCCGCCATCAGCGGGCCGGGGGAGAACAATCAGGCCACATCTCTCTAGCAGGCACCCCAGAAGCCGCCGTCAGCGGGCTGGGGGGACGAAGATATGGCAAACCAAGACGGCACAGGGAACTCCATTTCCCGCTGAAACAGGTTGATATAGCCGGTGTGGAACTTTGTCTGAACAATCCATTTTTTTTTTTTTTTTGAGGAACTTTCAACTTTATTTTTATATCCCACAATGTAAGGGATTTGTATTTTTTATTCTACAGAACTATGTGTTACCAAAAGAGGGAAAAGTATGATAATGTCTTTTCTGATTTCTGTGGCTACTTTTATTGCCATTTTAGTGACATGTGGTTGGTGTTGTGTGCCTTGTATCTGCTCATTGTGTGTTAAGACTCATCAGTTCCACCATTGAGGGAAGAGTAAAGATGACTCCGCTGACAAGGACTTTGCTTTTTAGACATATTTTATTCTCCCTCCACTGTCATAATAAGTTGTTGTTGTGGACTGTTCCTAAAGGTTTAAAGTGCTCTATATCCCAACTTCTGATGGGTTTATATAAATGTTGGGACAGACACAGTAAGAAGAAAATTGACAGTGGTAATGTTTCAAGTGCTATATGTTGATCTCGTGAGGTGAGATCAAAAGAGGGATTGAAGTAAGAAGATATGATTCTACACTGTATTGAAGTAAACATGTATTGTTTGAACGGGTTTTGATAATCACTTAGAAAAAGAATGTTATTCTCACTTTTAAACTCACTGATCCAGAGATTCTGTGTTTCACACACCAACATTGGCTGTTATCATCTCTAAGAGCCAGATGCTGTTTCTAAGTCGTTAAAGACATCGTAAAATAGGAAAAGATCCCCTGGAAAAGGTAGGGAGGGGAGATCGGGACGGAGATAAGAATTGACTTTTGACCTTAGGGGACTTTGGAATTTCAAGTCCTGGAGAGAACTATTGAACCCGGCCAGAAGCGAATCCAGCCAGTCAGGGCACTTGGGGGAGGTGGTCAGTTTAAACAGCTCCTCCCCAGGGCTTCTCTGATTCGCTTGGGAGAAAAGTGGGAAGGAAGAATCGACAAATCTCCGCCCCAAAGACAGATAGAAATACTGACGTTTGTGTGTGTAAAATTGCTTTTGGGTTTGGTGAGTTTGTTGGTCCTGATATCTGTGTCCGCATCGAATCACAAACTTGAAGTCCAATTTCTTCTCGTTTGATGACTTTGTCTGGTCCCGATGCATTTATCCGCATCGCATCACAAATCTAAAAGTCCGGGGTACTCGAGTACTCTGTATAACTTGTATATGTGTTTGGTTTCCTACTAGAAGTAAACTCAGATAATTTGTTATAACTTTGATTCCGGTGTTTTCAATTCCTTTCTTAATTTAATAGAGATCCAGCCTCATCCAACGAACGGCGCGTAGCAGAGGTATTCTACTCCAACAGTATACAAAAAAGTAAACAAAACGATACATTTATTCAAATGCACGTTTATCTGCTCCAGAC